TCTTCCTGTGTGAGGACCCTGTGTTGTTTGAATACAATAGGGTCAGGGAAATCACAGCACCTGTCAGACAGCCACTCCATCATTGTGAATGAGAGGACTGACAACAGACGGCACAAACGCTCACTGCTGAATAACCCCATATTTGTGTTTGCTCATCACTTTTATGATGGTTTCATTACACAGCACAATATGTTATTTACAGAGTAAATATACTGCATGCTATATTTGTTATTCCATCCTTTATATCTTATCAAGTGAGAATTTTTTGTGTTATTTTCCATTTATTTGTAATACTGGCTCTTTGCAGTAACAATTGCAATTTGGTATAACAAACATGTTCTCTTCGCCTTTTTGTTGTCTTAGACGTACTAAAAAAACTCTGATTGTATCAGTAGACATCAAATATATTAGCAAATACAGTTAATGACTAAAGTATTAGTGATTAAAATGTTCACTGCAATTGTAAAGTTTTATTGTTAACTACACTTTAGGTTTAATAATTTATTTTTCAGACAAAAAAAGAAAAAAGGAAACATGTAACTGATATCACATAACTGATAACAGCAGCATCCTCAACAGAAACTGATATCATATAATAACATGCCACCCATTAAGTAATACTAAGCCCTTGTATTCAATCCCCTAATTTCCCAGTGAATTTCACAGAGGCAGCCAGGTTATATTAGACTGACATGAAACAAAAGGTAACAGTGTGCAGCTGAATGTCTTCCCGATGCTGAGGCCCACGGGAAAGGTATATCTGAAGTTGCAGAGTTGGGGATTAAAGCTCACTCTGGAAATGTAAGCTTTGTCAGACAATACAATCCCATCACTGCTGTCACTGTCATCTTCATTCAAATTTTATCATGTTACCTCCAGCTATAGCTATGGCTTTAGCTTTATACAGTACAGTTTGTTAAATTATGATTGTGTTTCATGATTACCAATCAAATTCCACTGTTGCTTGTGGTGTCTTCCATTTGCCCAAACCTCAAATGACATTGTAGTCAAACACAAAAAATAACAACAGCGCAATTTCTTTCTTCTCATATCAGAATCAAAATCAGAATACTTTATTAATCCCACAGGGAAATTGTTAAGTTGCAGTTGCTCACTAAAATAAATGATGAGTCATAAAATAATAAAATTAAAAAGTTTAAATATCCAAAACCTAGAACTAAAAGTACAAGTAAATTAATGTAAGTAAGTTAATGTTAAAAAAATAAAAGTTCAGAATAAGTAGCAGCAGTGGCAACAATGCCAGACTACAATGATACAAGCACGTGTACAAATTTTTGAACTGAAATTATTGCCAATAAATTAACCAGAATGTTGACATCATATAAATTTGACATGAAAATCTATACTGAGAAATGCCCGTGCTCTTCAGTACACCCCTGTCCTGTGTGATCAGTGCCCCAGAGCAGCACACAACAAGCCCCTACAGAAGTCTCTATAGATATTGATGTTACTTTATCCTGTGTTGTCCGTTCTGCACCCCGCTGTCAGTCAGTCTACTGATCCAGCCTTCTCAAGTTGCATGAGCTATGATTAGCAATTTCTGCCATTATGCATCCTCCCTGCATAATTCATACCCTTCGTTCTTTTTGGCCGTGCCTTGAAGAGAACACGAGAGGGGAATCCCACCCTGCCCCAACAAAACCAAGAGCTTGTCTTGTGGTAGGAGTGAAAAAATAATGCTGCATTTTTAATTATCCAAACATTGGGTGATTTATAATTGATAAGAGAATGATCATAGGTGCAGGAAATGAAATGGTGTGGAAAGTGTTGGGTCATTAGGTCGTTAGGGATCGGGTCCCCTCCTGATCCAGAGCCCAAGTAAGTCAAAGCCTCAAAGAGGAGATCCCATACACTGACCAAAGTGGAGCAAGCATTTTCCCTTCCCTCAGTTGAGCCTGCTATTGTCCGGCTGTGTTCTTGTGAGAGAGATGGTGAAGCTTGTCATTTGAGAAGCCTGCTCTGGATCATTGTGGGACTGGTTAACATGATCATGTGTTTTGGTAAAGTAAGAAAGTGGAACTTACTTGAGGGATATTACCTGTCTGTAACTCAAACTCAGTACATTTAATATGTTGCCTTTGGATAATTGGAATATAATTCATCGAACATCACTTTTCTTGACAGCCCTTACAGACATCTTTAATGAATATGAGTGACAAGTCAAAACCGACAAAGGGATTGTTCCTGTCTTTGAGGGTGCAGAGTTTTAGGGAGACAGTTTAGAAATAGTCATGTTTTCCTTCAAATTAATCACTGCATTTGCATCTCC